TGAGTTTATTAATAACACAAATGAATTTTTTTGTTGAATATATCGTTGAGTTTCAAATGGGATTTCATTTTCAAACATCGATTCAATCTTTTCACTCGAGAGAGAGAGAGAGAGAGAGAGAGAGAGATTTATATAAGTTAATGGCTTAAAAAACAAATCAAATTTTAAAATTTATTTTCTTGTTATTGTATACAAAGAAAAGTTGTTTTGATGTAAAAATCATAATAAAGTTCCCATTATTAAGATTACTGTATATTTGTTTTGATTCGCTTCACAAGAAATATTCAATTAATTCAAAAGCCCTCTAAAGAACTCACTTCACAATAGAGTTTAGAAATTATTCTTTAAAAAACATGTAAAAACTCAAAGAATATCTTAAGAAAACAAAAGCGGATAATTTATTGCTTTTCTTTCATCTTATATTTTAATATTAATACATTGTTTGCCAAATATTAATAAAAGTCGAGTGCAATGTGTAGCCTATCTCTGCAATATATTTGCAATGTTTCGTTAACTTATGAATTATTGAAGGAATATGTAATATACTATATCTAAACAGTAAATTCACGTTTTATTTATGTATCTAATTAACACTTCATTACTATTGTTATAATCAATGTAAATTAGCCAAGAGTTAAATAGCATTTTGGAAATTAACATGAATAGAAAAATTCTGTAATATCGTTTGTAGTAATTTTGAAATCAAAATCACGTGATTTACATTATTATATTAAATAATAATTATTGTTTAATAATTATAAAAATCTATGTAAAAACATAGATGGCTAACACTTTGCATATATTTTTATATATGAGTAAATGATAAATACAATGTAAAATAATTGAGACTATTTTGCAATGAATTTATTTGTTGTGTCAAAAGCCATAGCATTACTCTGAATACATTAAATCTTATGTAATGTGCAAAACCTATTTAATAAATATTTTATTTTTAAAAACTCGAGTTATCTTTTTATATACAAATTATAATATAATAAAAGCTTGTTTTTATAAGAATTCATTGAATTTATAAAAGCATTAATAATCGTTGAATTAATGATGGATTCCTTTGCTATAAAAGATTGCACTATTTTAAACATTATTACTTTTATGAAATAGATTTGGGTTTTGTTTTAGGGACAAAACAACATAAATTTTAGATAATATAAAAATGAATAATTTATTTGTTTTAAATTTAAATATTTATAAAACATTTTATATTTCAAAACAATATTTGCTAGAAAACTAGATTTCTATAATTAAATTGGTTGTGTTGTGAGAGCTCTCGATGTGTTGTATTCCTTATATGAAAATATTTTCAATTTTGTTATAAATTTATATCCTTTTTAAAATTATTTTCATATTGTTTTCAATAAGTCTGATATAAATCACATTCCAATTGATTTATTCAGTTGTTTAGATGAAACACAATATTTAAATCCATGTTTTGTATAAAAAAAATCAATATAACAATAACTGGTGACAAATCATGCAATTATATTCAAATACTGTAACTTATAAAAATCAATTTAAGCCAATAGGCGTTTAATATTAGCACATAAATTACTAATTAATTTGTTTTTAGGACATAATAACTTATATCATTTATCCAGCTACACAATTTTATATTAGAGCCATTATAAAATAATTTTAAATATATTGTTAAATATTCTCCATTCAATAGGACTCCCATTATTTGATATATATATATACTGTATATATATTTAGATAATATATATATATATCATAATTAGCCAAAAGAGGTGTCTGTTTTTAATAAAATATAAATGTTTATATGTTGAACTACCTTGATAATGAATATACACTATATAAGAATAAGAGTCAATTTACGGGCCCTATGCTATATATGGCTAATAGTTTAAAAATAAACATACCTTCAAAATGCTATTTATCCAACTAGCACTTTTCGCAATGTATAATTTAATCAACAAAAAATAACAATTATATAAAGTGTGGGAATTTTCCCTTGAAATTTGACAAACAGTAGAGCATATTATTAATACTGTCATATCGATTCAATATATGCTGTCTTTGTATACAAATTATTAATTCATTGATTTATACGATGCAGTTTATTATAAAGTAAGTGCATCGCCTGACTGTCACGGAATATTCTGTGTTTGCAATCATAATAAAACAATTCATGTATTATACAAGAATTCACTGGAATCTGTAAGCAATTTCTTTTTCTTTAAAAATTGAAATCAGAATAATATGTATATTTAAATATAGATTTTCCCAAATTTTTATATAAAAAATCTGATGAAACCTAATACAGAATTGAAACATAATACTATTATTTTAAAATTTCAAAACACAATACATTTCGTTTTCATCAGACAATAGACTTTGACAGTGGGTTTCGCTAATAAATCATATTTAAGATATAAGTCGGAGGTTTTGGTCTTATTTTTCAACATAATGTCAAAACTTTTACATATGAAGTATAGTCTTAATGTTTACTCCGGGTATTGATGTTATAATATGTTTTCGCATTTCAATAGTAAGGATCGATATATTTTTCAAGTTTTATATCTCTATATAAAACAGATTATTATTATTATTATTTTAGGGGGAATTTAAGCACTGATTTCTGCGAAACTCGCAATTCTCAAGTGTGTTTCTTATAGTTATAAAAGTAATAAAAAAAATATTTGTTATTTTATAAAAATGTTTGATGCACTGTGAAAAATAACGTTCAACGTGATATAAAGATTGGATTAGTTTTATAGCAGTATATATCTGTTTGTATTTATGGTATTTAGCATTGCATTCTTGGATTTAATATTTTGAAATTAATTTTCATAATAAATATGGTAATGGTATTGGCAGTAAGGTTGTAATAAATAAGATTTATTCATGTTATAAATTGTTATGATATAAGATTAACGGGTGTTATTAATCTAGATTTCATAGAAGTTATTAATGAACATAATCTCATTATTAAACATACATGTATAACACTTATATCGTCACATCTTTTAAAATGTNTATTCATGTTATAAATTGTTATGATATAAGATTAACGGGTGTTATTAATCTAGATTTCATAGAAGTTATTAATGAACATAATCTCATTATTAAACATACATGTATAACACTTATATCGTCACATCTTTTAAAATGTAAAATAATTTATTATTTTATAAATATCAATATTTAATTAATTAAATCTTTTAACATAAATAATTTTAAGCAATAATTTAGAACATTTACATATTTTAAAAATATTAATGCAAATAAAAACTAATCAATATTAAGATAAATATTAATATTTTAAAACTTGTCGTTAAATGTTATTATTTTAAATTATTTTAGTATTAAACGTGGGATTAATATTAAATCAATTCCTAGTCATTTTAAAAGCTACAGTATTTTACACTAATAATGATGATTTACACTAAAACCTACCATTTAATTATTTAAGTTTACAAAGTTGATTTTGCTATTTTGTGCACTCTATGTTTGAATTCTGTAATAATATCAAGTTTGAATTTGTTTAATCTAAATGGTTACTGTCTTTCTTCAAAATACAATAAAATATTATTTCTGTTAACTTTTTACAAATTTGTAAAAAGTAAAAATTTTTGTTAAATAAAAGTAAATTTTAAAATTCTATATAAATTACAATTAATACTTTTTGTTTGTTAAAGTTTCTATAAAACCTATCGTTAAATATAACCAAACATTAAGAAATTTTAATATTTTAATAATTTACCTGATTTTATGACATATTTAAATAGTAAAACCATAAATTATTATTTACTTTAAAATCAATAATTGTTCCGTAATCTACAGATATATTATGAAAATGCTATTTACTTATAATGTTTTCTAATGCTCAAAATAACATGTTTAAATTATTAATGACATTCAGCGCTAAACATGTTTTCATTGTAAATATTTTACTATATTTTTAAAAGATTTAGTTTAAAATGTTATTTAATACTGAATTATCAATGAATATATGTTTGTAAATGTCATTTTTAAGTCGTGTATTAACTAAAAGCTTTTTGGTTGTAATTATAAATGACATAATTATGGGATTTGTATTTTGTTAGTTTTAATTACAAACTTATATAATATGTCATAGAAAGAAGATGTTTAATAGTTACTGGAAATTTAAGTTATTTGTATTTATAATACAAAATGTATTATAAAAACATTTTCCACTTAAATATGCATATTTTATTTGACTGCACAATATTTTTCGGTACATTCACTATAATATATTATCAATATATTCACTGTATGTTCACTGATATACAAGTTATTAATGAAAACACAAATAGACATTGCATTCAATTGCAAATACACTAAAATTCAATTACTGTTTAATATAGATATCGATTACTACTTCCGATACACCGTAAGTGTCACAACAATTTGCCAAAAATATAGTGAAACAAATTAAATCAACTCTCAATTATTTCTTATATAAATCTCTTAGTATTAGTCTCTCTCTCTCTCTCTCTCTCTCTTTCTCTCTCTCTCTCTCTCTCTCTCTCTCTCATAAGTCTCTGACCGATAGTTTCTTATTATGTGTTATCTATTTGTAAGTCTCATAAGAATTTGACAGCAAAATATGAGAAGAAATTTTCTATTATAAGTTAATTGAATGCATTTTCGTGTAAAAAGTTTGCGCAAAAATAAGGTCTCGAGAACTTGTGCTCAACTCTATTGAGATTCCGAACAAACCATTAAATTGTCTAATAATCATAAAAATAAAAAAAATAACCATTTGGTTGAACACAAGTGTAATCGAGAATAACAAACGTTTGCACAAATAATTTATTGTTATTCACTGTTTAATCGATTAAACATGTTTTGAACACAACTAAACTTGTTATATACCGGTAATGTATATGAGAAGTGTAACACCAATTCTGGTATAAAATTATGATTTATTGTGTTATGAAGTATTAAATGATACACAGAATAAACATATAGAGCGCTCTCTATTCACCAAAATATATAACATTATTCTTAATTCAATGAATATAAGATTCTTTGGCAACAGATTTTTGCATTATTAACTATAAATATCATTTAATCCAATAATAAAATAAAATGGATATCTATAAATTAATATGGTGATAATGAATTCACAGCCGTCTCTCCATTTTGATGTCCACAGCTTTGGGAATCATTCCTCCTCCAGCACCAAAAAATTCCAATCGTTTCTGTAATATAACACATGATTAAAAATAAGAAATACATTTTATACAAAACAAAGTCAACAAACCGGTGTGGGATAGAAACGGTATCGATTGACTAGTGAAATGAGTCCGAGTCTAATCTCCATTTGTGCCAAACGCATGCCAATGCAATTTCGAGGTCCGGCGCCGAACGGTAGGTATGCGTACGGATGGTGTGATATGTTTTCAGCCAAAAACCTCTCCGGTTTAAACTCTTCCGGATCCGCGAAGTATTCCGGATCTCTTTGAATGGAATACAACGGGATGTGAACGATATGATCCTTTTTGATGGTGATTCCGGTGCCCCTCAGCTCGTAGTCCTGGTTGGGAACCCTTTCCAAGAAGACAGCGGCCGGCAATAGACGTTGAGTTTCCATTATAACGGCATTTAAATATTTCAATGAATTTAACTCTTCGTAATCGACGCCTTTCTGTATAGTTAAACATTCATTTTGTTAATGAAAATTATTTAAGTAATGGTATGACAAATAACTTACGTATTCATCGAAATATTTTCTCGATTCGAGATATAGTTTTTGCTGAACTTCTGGATGTCTTGCGATTTGGTATAAACATAAAGCCATTGTTGTGGCGGACGTCTCATAACCGGCCAAAAAGAAAAGCACGCATTGGGCCACCAATTCGTCGTGTGTTAGCGCTGTTTAAACATTATTTTTAATAATAAGCTTAATTGAGAATTAATTAATTAATTGAGAGAGAGAGAGAGAGAGAGAGAGAGAGAGAGAATGATAAAATTAATACTTTTATCGATGTCATCGGTTGCCTGTATTTCTTTGTACTTTTCGTGATCGTTGTCTTTATTGTCTTCACTTTCGAGAGTAATTTTGTTTTCCATTGAATCCAACATTAATTGCAAAAAGTCTACTCTCTTAACGCTATCTTTGTTCTTCTTTCTCTCTTCAATTATATTAAGCGTTAAATCTTTGAAAAAATGCATAACTTTGCTGTCAAAGGGAGTGATTTTCAATATTTTGGCCAATTTTGGCGCAAATAAAACGAGAATTAATTGAGGATTAAAATTTTTGCCAAATATTTTTCTCGCATTTTCGATAATAGGATTGTTTTCATCAAACATTGCGTCCACTTTTGTACCGAAAGCCACTTGTATTACAACTTCCATAGCGTATGCGCCCAATAATCTCTTCATATCCGTCTGTCCATCAGTTTTGGCGATTTTGTCCAAATTGTCGATCAAACTGTTCCGACACTCGACTATCAAAGGCATCATTTTCTTGAGTTTTCCCGTCGAGAATGTCGGCGACATTATTGACCGGATTTTCTTCCACTGTTCATCTCTAACGACACTAACCATATTGTCCAACAGAGGCTCAGCGCCGGTACTAAAGTCCTGTTTGCATAAAAAGTATTTTATATCGATTAGAAATTGAATGTCAATTGAATTGATATTTTTCATATACCCGTCGATTATTGAATATATGAAAGTCTTTGACCAAAACATCGCGAATCAGTTCCAAATCCGACAAATAAAGTACGGGTTTTGCGATTTCGTAGATCCCAAATATTTTCCCATTTCGTTTATACAACTCGTGTTGCCATTCGTGCCATTGTTTAGTAACTCTCGTAAATAAGCCCACGTATACTGTCTTCACTCCCTGTGTGTCCCAATACGTGCACTGAGAGCACACATATCTATTGGTTTGATTCAATTAAAGTTATAATATGAAAATTATACAATAGTTGAGACAATTTCTCTTTTAATTACCTGTAAATCAGTAATACTGTGGCCAATAGACAAGTGTTGATAATAATCGACCACTTTATTAGTGAATAGGAAAATATTAACTCTAATATTTCAAGCATTTTATCAATGTATTTAGTTTTAGAAATTAGAAATAAGTATTGAATACAATTTATATTTGAAGTTATACATGAGAGCAATCGCTTTTATACTAAACTTCAAGGCTATCAGGGACATTCTGTTCAATTTGCTGGTAAACTACTCGTATCCTTGTAAACAAACAGAATGCACTTGATCATAAATATTAGATAATTAACAATGATTGCATGAAAATTGTATTTTAATTGATAGAGTGTCAAAGAGTGGTTTTTCAAAATGAATTCACACTTTCATAATGTATTTGTCCGGCAAATCATTTAAAATTATTAATCGCTTAATCTATAAAATATAATTTGTTTATAATATGAGTTTTATTGAATATATCGTATTGTGAAACAAATTATACACATTAAAGGGATTTAATAGTTAACAAATTAAATAATTTGTTGGAATTATGAATAAAACATATAATTAAATACTAAAAAGATATATTTGTGAACAGAAAAAATGTAAAATATTTAGGATAAGTGTTAATTTAAATCCGGAAACAAATGAATTGAAAAATTTACTTAAAATAATGCGAAACTAGTATTAATGGAAATAAAGTGAATATTAAAGGAATAATTGTGTCCATCAGTTATCCATATGTATCGAAGCGGTTGTCCAATAGAGCTCGTCCTTCGGTCTCATAGATTGTCACACATTCACACCGACTGTTCTTCAGTTCACAACTATCCACCACTAATTTTGTCAGCAATTCCACCCATTCATAGTTCAATACAATTGTGATTGTATTGAGACTCTTATCTAACAAATAGTGGAAAACAAAGCAATCAATTAATTCACGCATAAAATGTCAGTAAAACTAATGTCACAAACCGTTTGAATTGACATCAAATACATCGCTGTTTAACGACAAACTTTCGGCGATCTTACGGGCCTTCGCGTCGACGGGTCTAATGACCAGAAGTGGTAGCGAACTGTCCGCACATATGGCCAGACTCTGGAGCTTCTCATACTTAAGCCGTATATAATCTTTAGAGCACTCATTGGTGTCATATTGTATATTAAACAGAGCGATCCCATCGACAGTAAACTCAATAAACAAACATTTCAATCGATATTTGCCCACAAATATCTCCTTAACGCCGACCGTCTCGTAAAATGTCAGCGATTTCTTAACACAATTGGCCGACAATTGGGCCAACTTTTGGCTCATCTCTTCCTTCTCTTTGACGACGGCTTCAAACTTATGCTTCCATTCGTTGCGGTCTTTCACTGAGTTTGCAGACATTTGGACCAACTTTTCGGTCATCTCTTTATTCTCTTTGACGACGGCTTCCAATCTATGGTTCAATTCGTTGCGGTGTTTCACCAATTCTTTGCGATCATTAACTAACAGCTCAACACAGTTGTGCTGATCGGCGCTCACACCCGCCGGTAGACCACACGCGCGGCACAACCGGTGCTCACAATTGTTGTGATGCGCGGCCATTGACTCCAATTGAATCGTTTCATTACATCCGTTCCACACGTGTTGGCATTTGATCCGCAATTTCCCGATAACAGCGTTGAGACGACGACACGGATTGACTGAAAGCACGAGTCCTCCAGCGATGACCGCATTGCGAGTACTTGTCGTACGCTTTCGGGTCATAGGCTCTGTGGGCAACGGATCCCTACATTCAGGACATATGACATGAGCTCCGGATGTGGACAGCAATCGGTGGACACAGTTGTAGCAGAAGGTGTGCCCGCATTGCGTGGCGACCGCGTTGTTGAAGACATTAAGACAAATACTACACTCGAGTTCATCGAAAGAAACAACGATACCTTTGCCATCAGCTGTGAGGTCAACGAATTGGTCCGAATTGACTGCCATTTAGTCTTCACTTGAGTTGTAATTCACGTCAAATGAGCGATAATTAAGTGTTGAATGAATCGATGGATGACTTGTTTTGCGGACAACTGTTCAGTGAATTCAATGCAATCCAAAGTGCATTCAAACGCTTGAAAACGCGAGCAGTTTGTGATTGTTATACAGTTTGCGCTCACTTTTGATTGTGTTTCAAACACTGACGGGTATTGAAATTGTAACACAAATTCTGGTATTTAATTATGATTTATTGTCTTAAAAGTAGTTATAATATACATGAGAAACATATACATATAGATAGTTACATAATTCATCAAAATATACTTTATATCACTCTATTTGATGAAACTTGTCTAATATTAACTAATGATAACACGATTTAAAAATGACAAAAAATTATAAAAACCAAATACGATATATAATTACAAATTAATGTATGATATGAGACAATCAGACCCTTCGCTCTACTTTGACGTCCACTGATTTGGGGACGAGTAGTCCTCCCGTGAAGTAAAACTCCAATGGTTTCTGTAATATGCGATACAATACACGTTTAAAACATTATAAGTTATTCTCAAACCATATAAACACAAAACAAACCTCTGAGGGATAGAAACGGTACCGATTGACCACTGATATCAGTGCGAGTCTGATCTCCATCTGCGCTAATCTCATGCCAATGCAATTTCGAGGTCCGGCGCCGAACGGTAGGTATGCGTACGGATGGTGTGCTATGTTTTCGGCCAAAAACCTCTCCGGTTTAAACTCATCCGGATCAGCAAAATATTCAGGGTCTCTATGCATGGCATACGTCGGGATGTGAACAATATTGTCCTTTTTGATGGTAATTCCGGTGCCATTCAGTACGTAGTCTTCGTTGGGAACCCTTTCCAAGAAGACAGCGGCCGGAAACAGACGCTGTGTCTCCATAATAACGGCGTTTAAATATTTCAATGAATTTAACTCATCGTAATCGACGCCTTTCTGTAGAATTTAAACATTGGTTTTGTTAATAAAAATAATTTAAGTAATGTTTTGACAAATAACTCACGAATTGATCGAAATATTTTTTGGATTCGAGATATAGTTTTTGCTGCACTTCTGGATGTTTTGCGATTTCATTCAGACATAAAGCCATTGTTGTGGCGGACGTCTCATAACCGGCCAAAAAGAAAAGCACACATTGACCGATCAGTTCATCCGATGTTAGAGCTATTTAAATAGAAATATTAAATATTTATTATTATAAATGAAAGAAAGAAAGAAAGAAAGAGAGAGAGAGAGAGAAAGAAGAATAAGGACGGCGTCAAGAGAATAGACTTTTTGCAACTTATGTTGGATTCGGCAGAAAATAATAATACTCTCGACAGTGAAGATCACGACGAGAAGGATAAGGAAATCCCGAAGTGTTTAGACCGGAAAGGTTTTTGGCCGAAAACATAGCACACCATCCGTACGCATACTTGCCGTTCGGCGCCGGACCTCGAGAGAGAGAGAGAGAGAGAGAGAGAAAGTATTGTAATAATTAGTACTTTTCTCGATGTCATCGGTTGCCTGTATTTCTTTGTATTTTTCCTTATCCTTCTCGTCGTGATCTTCACTGTCGAGAGTATTATTATTTTCTGCCGAATCCAACATAAGTTGCAAAAAGTCTATTCTCTTGACGCCGTCCTTATTCTTCTTTCTCTCTTCAATAATATTTAGCGTAAATTCTTTGAAAAACTTTGTAATATTGCTGTCAAAGCCTGATATCTTGAAACGAGCGGCCAATTTGGGCGCTAATATAACGAGAAGTAATTTTGGGCTAATATTTTTGCCAAAAATCCTCTTCGCGTGATCTATAATAACATTGTTTTCATCAAACATTGCGTCCACTTTTGTGCCAAAAGCCACTTGTATTACAACTTCCATAGCGAAGGCGCCAAACAATCTCTTCATATCCTTCTCGCCATCAGTTTTGGCGATTTTGTCCAAATTGTCGATCAAACTGTTCCGACACTCGACTATCAAAGGCATCATTTTCTTGAGTTTTCCCGTCGAGAATGTCGGCGACATTATTGACCGGATTTTCTTCCACTGTTCATCTCTAACGACACTAACCATATTGTCCAGCAATGGGTCGGCGCCTGTCCTAAAATCCTATTGAATAAATAGCATTTGATTAGAGTTTGACATTACTTTTATTAGTATTTTTTATTTACCCGACGATTATTGAATATATGAAAGTCTTTGACCAGAATATCGCGAACGAGTTCCGGATCCGACACAAAGAGTACGGGTTTTGTGATTTCGTAGATCCCAAATATTTTCCCATTTCGTTTATACAAATCCTGTTCCCATTCATACCATTGTTTTGTGAATCTCGTGTATAGACTCACACTATCGGTCTTCACTCCCTGTGTCTCCCAATACGTGCACTGAAAGGACACATATCTATTGATTTAATTAAATTTTTAGTATTTATTCAAATAAATATTTAAGACATGTGTTTAAATACCTGTGGATCAGATATACTGTGGCCAATACACAGGCGGTAATACCAAACGACCACTTAATTAATGAATAAAATACTAACTCCAATATTTCAATCATTGTATTTGATTTATTTTTACTTTTAAAATTGGCGTTCAATAAATTCAATTAAACTTTTATATGTTAAGCTCACAGTTTTATACTACATTTCAAGGTTACCACGTACATTCTGTTCACGCTGAACTTATTAACTGTTTCTAATTATTATCTGTTTTTATTCAATTCTTATCTATAATTACAGTTGTATAAATATATAACCATGTACAAAATTACCCAGGTATATACATAATATACTTAACGTAAAGTATTTATAAATGTAAAAGTAATGTTATTTAATGCTTTCAAAAAAATTAGTATTTAATTAAGTAACAATAAATTGTATCTAAATTATCATTAATTAGTTTGTTAAATATGCATTTAATGAAATTTTGATGTATTATTATTAATAATTTATTATGTTTAAAAAAGGTTTGCAATTTATTATCGCAAATACACATGTATTTAATACAGTATATTTAAAGTCCAAAAATCACACGCTAATAACATTTCACTTTATCTGAAGTATTCATTTAAATTAAACCACACTTTTATCACTAGTCAAATACAATATAAGCTATACATAGAGTTAAAACTACGATTACTTCACACTAATTACCACTTTTCTAGTAAACAAACTTAATGTACTAAATGATAAATATTTAGTGATTTACATTTCTAGGTGAAAATAATATTGCAATAATTGTTGTTAGCTTAGCTGTCAACACGTGCTTTTCAACATAGATTCACAATGTTCATATTGTATTTGTATTTAAATAATTACAAATATACTTCATCCTATATTATTGTTGTTAAATATGGTAAATTTTAGAATCTTATAATAGGTAATACTGTGTATTGTTTTTATTCTCATTCTGTAAAGGGGATAACTTAAACTAAATAATAATTTTTTAACACCACTAAATTACATAATATTAGTTATAATTTTATATTAATCTATAAATTGAATGCCATTAATAAATAAGCCATAAAAGACAATATCGAATTTGAGCAAAATCCCCCTCTGAGAGGTACCAGGATTTTCTCGGTGCCAATCGATAGATCTCATGCTAACTAACAATAGTTATAATTACGTCGACCCGATCCGAGTGGTACATGACCTCCAAATCGGGTCCCGAAGTGACCAATATTTCGGGTGTCGAAAAAGTGTATTATTTTACTTCA